GAAATGACGAAAATTTTTGTATACCGATACTGATCAAACATTCAATATTAATATCGGTATATAAAATTTTTTATACATCGATAATTTGATATACCGATACTTTTTTCCCAAAACAGCAGCATCGGTATATAGAGGTTTGACTGTATTGGGCCCGTAGCAAATAATCCAGGAGCAATCTATTCAAGTAGGCATTTAAATGATATGATAAAATCTGCAGTATCATTTAGGAGGTTGAGAAGTCAACCTACTACTTCAATATTCGGTAACATTTTAATAAAAATTAAAATTCTCATTTAACATTTCATATCAATTGATGAGTAATATAATTAATTATTTAAGATTAAAGAAGTTTCGAAGAAGATTTCAAAGATTTGATTGAGGATGATAGAAGTTTAAAGAAGTTTAAATCATCTGAAGATAAAATTAATGATAAAATCTAAATTAAATTTTTAATTTATAATTTAATTTAATTAATATTTTTCATTTTAGGTTATGAAACAAAAGCTCTTGATTACAATATCTAATATTATTATTACTAGAAACATTTTTATAAAGATATATTTATTGCATATTATATCTGTTAAAGTTAAAAGAAAAATAATTAAATAAACCAAATTTATATTTATTTGATATTTGCATTAGAATATATATTACTTATACCAATTATTACAAAATTGCTGTGATTTTTTTCTAATATTTTTTCAGACGGTCTGAGTAGAGTTTTAGCCACTAATAGAATTCAGCGATATCTATTTATTCTGAAGCGATTTTAGAACTATTCAAAGATTAATATTGGTTTGCTTCGAAATTCAATAAAAACCTTTAAACTGATTTCGTTATTGAGATTAAGGAAAGCGCAAAAAAAAACGGAATTTTATCACACATTAATAAATTTCTCGTTATATTATCGTTAAAAATTGCTTACAAACATAAGTTTTGCAATATAAGATAACCTAGAAAAGTCAAAAACAATATCTAATAAACAAGGGAGGCAAGGCATACAAAATTAAATGAAAAGATATTGAGTAAATAACAAAAAAAGTAACTTATCACTTACTTGTGGAAGCGATCCTAAAGAAAGGGATCTATTTCTGGTTGGGAAATCGTTCAATTGCTGAGATCGAACCTGTCATAATAAATAACCAAAAAAATAAAAATAAAATAAAAATCCCCGACGACGAAATACCACAACGCGAGCCATACCAGAAGATGGTCAACCAATGACCATGCAAGTTTGCGAAATGCCCATTTGCATATGGAAATAACCTGATATGAGACCTTTGCAATTGAAAGGGAAAAATAAAAATTGTGATAATGCAAAAACTCAACATATTTTTACCTAAAAATCAAATTTGGTATTTAAAAGTAAACTTGATTTTTTCTGGCAGTTTTCCCCTTTCTATTGCCAAGGTCCCATATATTATTTACCATAAATTCACGGGTTTCAAAGATTATTACGGAAAATTACTCCATGGCCAATATATATTTATCATATGTGACCGTGTAATTATTTTGGAACTTCACATCTACTTAATATTTGGATAATCGCGATTATAATATTTCTCCCGTAAAATGTACAGTGCGCGAAAAAAGTTTTCGGAATCACATTTTAATTTATTATACTCTGTAAAAATTAAAATATATATTCT